GAGGAGAGAGGAGTAGGGAGGAGGAGGAGGGAGGAGGACGATGGACGGACGAGGCCGGAGGATGAAAGGAGAGGAGGAGGGAGGAGAAGGGAGGAGTAGGGAGGAGGGAGGAGAATGCTGGCAATGGAGGGAGTGTAACGTGATGTTCCGTTGAGAGTTGAGCGGGCAGGAGGAGAAGGTGCTGGAAGAGGGTGAGGTAGCCGGGGCGGACCAGAAAGGGGAGAAGAGGACAACGGAAGACTGGGAGGAGGTGGGCACAGCAGGCAGAGATGGCGGAGGAGCGCGAGGAGGAGGAGGTGGTGGAGGAGGAGCGTGAGATTGCGGGGCAGATCAGGGAGGTGGAGCCGCTGGAGGAAGACGAGGAGGAGGAGGAGGTGGGGCAGGAGGTGGCTGCAGGAGGAGGGTGTCGGCGAGGACGCTGTCCGCGAGAACGAACAGGAGGAAAATGAGGTGGAGGCGGAGGAGCTGTTGGAGGAGATTGGGGTGGCTGGAAGGAGGACGTGACCAGAGAGGAGGTGGCTACAGAGGAAGAGATGCAAAGAGGAGGAGATGGTGGAGAATGCGTGGGAGGAAGAGGATCAGGTGGCGGGTGAGGTCGCAGAGGACAAGCGGGAGAGAGGGACATGGCGGAGGAGGATGGATGAGGTAGCTGGGGCGGACCAGGAGGGTGAAGAGGGGATGGTGCAGAACTGGGAGGAGGTGGGGGACCAAGACAAAGTGGCGGAGGAGAATGGGATGGTAGAGGAGGGGAAGGTGGGAGGGGAGGGAAGATTCATTCCGTTTTTGCTCATCCTATCGATGGAATGTGTGTGTGTGTGTGTGTGTGTGTGAGAGAGAGAGAGAGAGCGAGAGAGAGAGAGAGAGAGAACCTATAACTCTCCAACCTCGGCCAACAGCCAAGTCTCCAGCCCCACGCCTCGCCGCACGCTACTTGGATCGATAGAACGAGCAAATCAAAAAGTGGCAGTGTATATTTCCCCGTTTCAGCAGAAGATTCATTCCAATTTTGCTCATCCTATCGATGGAATGTGTGTGCGAGACGTTCATGATGAGAGAGAGAGAGAAAGAGAGACAGGGTAGGGGAATGTGACCACCGACCACAGAGAGAGAGAGAGAGAGAGAGGGTATCAGCGAGTGTTGCTGTGCGCCACGGCGTAGCCGTAGTGGGGTCCACTTGTTCTACATAATGGCTACGATCAAAATTTCACAAATTTACCCTTTGTGAGCACAGCTGTGGCGGGGAACGCTTATTATGATCTGCACAATGATTATCTAAGTCATCCCGCTGTTGTCGATGCTTGCGAGCTCTAGATAGTATCTCGGCTAGATACCAATCACTTGCTTCGCTTGAGTCTATAATATGACATCTGCCTCCCAAGTGCAGCAAAACGTCGTCTTCGTACAGATGAAGTGCGACGCATAGGCCCTCAGCTTGCTCCTTAGCGCTCGAGAGACTCCTTGATATATGCCTTCTTCCCGGTAGAAACCTCCACAGTATAGGTGGCAATCCAGGATTCCAGCTCAATGGCATGGGTGGCAGTCCAGGATTCCAATGACTCGTTGCAGTACGACTAGAAGCAAGCAAGAAAAGTAGCCGCCATTTTCTGAACTCTATGAGTGTGAAAACTTCGATGATGTCCAGATTATCCATCGGTGCAGCAACACAAAGGAGGACGCCGTCGAAAAACTTTATCAAGTGTGCCTACGGTTTACCGGGCAGTTCTGTTTGTGACGATATATATAATAGATGTGGAGTAGGTGGATAGCGGAAGCTCATACCATTTGAAGGTTGTCAACGTTGGGACAATTTACATAAATTATGGGGGTCGATAAGCAGTAGACACCTATCAAATATGTAGGACCGCCAAGCATTTATTTACTAAGAAGATGTTGACGGGGAGGTTTATTTTTCAGCAAATATATCATGAACATAAAGTGTGTTATGAGTAGGCAATCGGATCCTGTACAAGAGTACAAAACAACACGTCATATTGAATTGTATATTGGGGCATTGCGGCCATCAAAGCATTGTGTTGCGTAAAGGACGTAAATAAGTAGAATAACGTTGCCATGGGACCTCGCTCCACTGCTTCAGAAATGTGCAAAATGATAATGGATCTTCCGGTATAACTTGGAAAGATATGCTGTCATATTTTCTTTTTTCCCTGGATGTGAGCAGTAGTGAACCGAGGTCCATTGTCCGAACAGTGTTGCCAAATTCAACTGAGCCGGTCTGAAAATAAACGCAGACCTGTGCAACTGTACCAGAACTTTTACGGCCACGGGCCAAAACCGAATAAAAAATGTCACGCTTGCATCACAGCTTGGCGAAGAATGGGGACTTTATGCTCATGAAGTTTGTCTGACATTTATTGGTGCCTTAATATATAAATAAGTGAAGGTCACTCCCACTAAATATTATACCTGCTGCATGGCATTGTGCTTCCAACATATGTTAGGATGGGCTGTACTACGTTGACATATGCGATTAGGTCTCTGCAAAAACATCGAACACTCGTGCAACTGAATCAAAGCAGTTGGTGGCGCATGCCAAAAGAAAAACAAAAATGCCACACTCACATTCCGGCAAAGCTTGGTGCGCAGCGGAACCCTCCTGGTCCCTCCTCCTTTAAATAGTATGTGTTTATTTTATTTTACACCAGTACCCCTTACTTACGCGGGCGAAGCTGCACTGGCCCATCTTGTAATATTTTGCTCATCTGCTTCCAGTGGAGTTCAAACTCTGGTCTGTATTTCAACAGTTCAGGGGTGTACCAACTGTGCTAGGGCAGTTGGTCATCAGACCGGTTCCTATTCCTTGGTAAGTCTAGATACAGAATACAACACACTCGAACGCTTCTCTCCTTTATGGTAGAGAGACCCGAGTGGGGGGCATCGATTACTTCCAATCTGGAAGGATGTACCTCCCCTCACCCCTGCATTTCATCTGGCAATCAGAGAAAATCTTGAGGGGCCTCCTCAGCAGGTAGTATCTCCTCATGTGCGTTGCATAGCACAATGAATGTATCATTGTATCGGATGTGTATCTCCACTTCGTTAGTGCTGGGAGCAACTGTCCCTGATGGTATGTGCTTTAAAAGGTGCATCATCTGGCTTCAGCACTGCCCACTTCACATACCGGATGGCATCTGTTGTCAGCATTAAGGGCACTGCAGGATCTAGGGTTTGGGGTAGGCAAGGAAACGCCTTTGAGAGTCTACTAATCTCCCATACTTGCTGCCTCGATAGGTGGGACTTTCTTCCAGGTCAGCTCAGTCGAGGGTGCAGGCACTGTAGCAAATCCCTCAAAAAACTTCCTGTGGCAGATCCACATGCCAAGAAAGACGAAACATCCGTCACTGCATTGGGCCTTGCCTAATCTGCAACATCGTCAACTTCTGTTGTCGCTGGCCTCAAGCCATGCCCAGAAACTTCCTGGACCAAGGGCCCAAGAATTGCTCCATGTGCTTGTACCATGGACCCAAAAATTGCCCTACCTTATTCCCTCTTCTGGTCTAAATACAGTCATTATGCTGGGCTTTGTGTTCGGGGGGTGTGCCCCCTGAGAGCAGGCAAAATTAATTAGGAATTTAGGAGTCGTTGAAGGATGAACCATCCTAGGATGCCAAATAGCGATGCGCCAGTGCAATTGACGTTTTGTTGCTTGGACATGGAGTCTAGACCCATAAGCAAGCACTCTGGGACTAACAGAATCTTCTTGGAGTTACAGGAGTACTAAAGTTGCATTGCTACGCATGGAGCTGCTGTTTGTGGTTATGTCATCATGTTTCCCTTGAAGTTGACGTTCCAGATTTCTTCAAGGGGAAGAGAGGTTGAACTGGGGGGTTTGAGCAGATTGTTCTTTTTTTGTGTGGGGTGTTTGTGTAGGTCTTTGGTGGGGAGCATGCACATCCCTGTGGGGGCGATCGTGTCCACGATGTGAGACTGGGAGAAGGTAATGACAGTAGCGTTGCAGGGGGTGCTGTGCTCTCAGGGAGTGGACATGAAGGGAGCAATGTTCCTGGTGCCAGCTCAACAGTTGGCACATCATCTTCCAGTGGAGAAGGGGCTGGAGGAGCACCTAGTGTTGGTGGGACAGGAGCTGGATCACTGGGAGGGGCACACGCAATGACATTTGCTGCAGCAGCTGGGGCAATGGCAAGCGGGAGTGTAGCCCGGAGTGCCAGAGAGCGGAGGTCCATGGCGGCTGCGATCTCAGCTTCCATGCCGCCAAAGCTCATCTTCTCCATGAATGGCAGGCAGCTTGACAGACAAATGACCATCTTCCAGGCAATTCAGAGGCAAGCTGTTGCTGAAGATGATGACGACGAGAGATTTGGATCAGACTTAAGTGGGGTTGGTCGTCGTCTATGGGATGAGGTGTACACAATAACCTATCGACGAGCAGACACGGATGGAGAGGGGGCTGGAGCATCGAGCGCGGCAGCTGCTGGCGTTACACAAATAGGATCAGCTAATGGAACGCTAGGAGGGTCATCCCCAAAGAGCATACAGGCTTCAGAGAGTTCCTGGCAGCAAACGTCTCTGTTGGAGTCTCTTCTAAAAAGTGGACTGCCTTGTGACCTAGAGAGGACAAACCCAACATATGACATTTTGCTTCTGCTTCGCGTCCTCGAGGGAATGAACCGTTTGGTACGCCGGTTCCGTTCAGAGGCTGCGTCTGATGCGGTGGCAGAAGGCAGGGCGTCGAGTGTTGCGGAGGTGGATGCAAATGGCACAGTGGTTCCTCAAGAAGACTTCATCAGTAGTAAACTGACTCCTAAGCTGGCCCGGCAGATGCAGGTCTGTGTTCAGTTTTTCACTGTCTTGTATTGTACACCTCCTGAATCCCATCCCCTCACTCATTCCTCGTCTTTGCTTTCCAAGGGACTATTGGTTGCCACCGCTGTATTCGTGTCCGTGCAACCTGTCTGTGACCAGTCATGAAGTGCTCACGTCGATTCTGGGTGGGTGCATCAATAATTTTAAGAAGTATTTTTTAGAGCATTTGCTGGTAGTGACAGGCAAGCTCTGTCTTCGAGTGAAATATTGCAAGTTTGCAGCCCCTGCTTTTGAAAATCGTTGACTTTTAGTGTCATTTCTTTTTGCATTCTTTTCTCCATCTTTTTGGATTTTCTTTCTCTGTTTCTATGGCATCCATTTTGTTTGCATCTGTTGTTCTCTGTCTGGCCTGCCTCTTTGACTATCCTACTCTTTTGTCAGGTGACTGTTCATGTTTGATTATGCGGCGGTTGTAGCAAATTCTTGCCTTTTTTTTTGAATTTTCTCGATGGAGTACTCTAGTTGCTAGGCATGAAATGATCAATGCTATTCCAAATTTGTGTTCATTTTCAATGAAGACCATGCTGGACGACGAAAACATTCGGGATGAGAAGTGCTGTCTTTTGTCCTCCTGGTGATATGACTCCAGCCTTAGGCAGAACGGCACCAGTTGGATTCACGATTTACTGGTTCTCAAAGTTTAGTCAGCAATTACAAGCTGGTCAATTTGAGCCATGCTTCGCACCTTATCTCATTGTAATACCGAGAGACAAAATCAAGCATTCACGATGGTGCTGGACAGTATATACAATCCGGCAAAATTTCTGGATTGTTGTCTCTGTCGATCCACGAACTCGTATTCAGAAGTTGCTTTTTTTCAATTTGCTTGGGCTGTTTCTTTTCACAACAGGATTGTTTGGATTGTGGTTTATGGTGGTCTTTCTGTGGATTTAACTTTGAACCATTGATTTGGTTTATGAATGGAAGAAAGGCGTTTATGTTGGGAATTACACATTTGGGAGAGTGCCTTGTTTACACCGAAGGTTTTCCTCTGTGACCTTTACCATCCTCCTCTTCTGTCGGGTAACGACTCGGTTTCGAGTCCGTGGGTGTCGCAGCGAAGTACAAATCTTGACCGGAGGGCTTCGTTTTGTTTGTGGGAGTTGATGTTAGCGTAACACAATTTGAGGCATGCGCAAGAGTGCTCAATGAGGGGTTTTGGCTTCACGTGAAAGGAAGATAGTTTGTTCACCCAGTGGAGTGTAAGAACAACTTTGTGGTTTGGTGCATTCCCAAAAGTGGAAAATTCTTCAAAAAAACGAGTAGAATGAGAGCAATGTCGAAGGAGAAATTCCAAAAAACAAATGAAATGAGAGAGCGCGCAACAGGCGTGGCCCACTCCTAGAGTCTCCGGAGTGGGGAGAAACGACAATACAGTGCAGTGGAAGTCCGGAATCAAACAATCTGACTCACAGGAGACAGAACATTGATGATGCACTTATCGCAAGAAGTGGGATTGCTGAGAGGGCAACATGCATGGAAAATAGAGCCCTCCCTGCTCACACACTATCATGGGGAAAAACTATGGATCACGAGGGGGTGAAGAGGAAGAAGAAGAAGAGGGTGGCGGAGATGAAGGAGAAAGAAAGAGAAGGGCCAGATGTGATTGGGCGAAACAATGATCTCTCCTACACTCAAGCTTGGCCTCCAATCACTTCCAAACACCATGCCAAAGTCTGACAATCAAGTTGTCTTAAGTGGGAGATGTCTCCCAAAAGGATCACAGTTGCAATCTCTCTCTCTCTCTCTCTCTCTCTCTCTCTAGCCCGAGTAGGGAGGTTGAGATTGGGAAGGAAAAGAAGAAAAGAGGAAGAACAGTAGTCTCTCCCACTCTCCCTGCGTCCGGGGGGACGTGCCGCTGCAGGTCGCAGAGTGGAAATCCGGCTATGGCCAGCTGAAGCTCCCAAGCTATGGCGCCCAAAAGAAAACAGAAAATTTTGCGAGCGAAAGCCAAGAGTATGAGGGGTATAACATATGAATGAATCCCTACACTTAAAAATCGCTAATGTCTGAATTCTGAAATCCGGGCCGACTTTGGACCTACCGGCCCGACGGCCCGGATTGGGCCCCGATCTTAGATCTTTCCAGGCCGTTCGCAGTTGCACCTGCCCGACAGCCAGATCGCAAGATCGCGGGTGAATCCAGGCCATTGGGCCGTTTACGGCCCGGATCGCCGCGGTGCCTTGTGGAAATCGGTCTGAAAGGACCGTTGGCGGGCGGGCGGGAAAAGTACGGCCCCACGCGACGCGACCTACCTACGCGACGCGACCTTCCTACGCAACCTACGCTACGCTACGCAACCTACCTACGCAACCTACGCTACACTACGTGACCTACCTACGCGACGCGACCTACCTATGCAAACTATACGCTACGCGACCTAGGCGACTCGACCTACGCTACACGATGAGACCTACGCTACGCGTCCTCTCTCTCTCTCTCTTTCTCTCTCTCTCTACGATGATGATGATGATGGTGATGATGGTGATGATGATGCGGCGATGACCACGATGACGACGACGATGATGATGATGATGATGATGATGATGATGATGACGATGATGACAACGACGGTGATGAACCTACGCTACGCTACGTGACCTACCTACACGACGCGACCTACCTACTCAACCTACGCTACGCGACCTAGGATACGCGACCTAGGCTACACGATGAGACCTACGCTACGCGTCCTCTCTCTCTCTCTCTACGATGATGATGATGATGATGATGATGATGATGATGATGATGGTGATGATGATGCGGCGACGACCATGATGAGGACGATGACGGCGATGATGATGATGATGATGATGATGACGGTGATGACGATGATGACGACGACGGCGATGACGATGATGATGATGATGATGATGATGATGATGATGCTGGTGATGATGATGATGACGATGATGACAACGACGACGATGATGATGATGATGATGATGATGATGATGCTTACTATCTTTTTCTTCTTCTTCTTCTTCTTCTTCTTCTTCTTCTTCTTCTGCAAAGCCGAAGTCTGACGTTTGCGAAGTAGAGAGAGAGAGAGAGAGAAAAGTAGTGGGCGCGCGCGGGGGTATATGGTGCACGTGTGCGGAGAGAGAGAGAGAGAGAGAGAGAGAGAGAGAGAGAGAGAGAGAGAGAGCAAAGTAGTGGGCGCGCGCGGGGGTATACGGCGCACGTGTGCGGAGAGAGAGAGAGAGAGAGAGAGAGAGAGAGAGAGCAAAGTAGTGGGCGCGCGCGGAGGGTAGCGGGCGCGTGGGTGATTATATGAACAGTGGATGATGATGATGATGGATGGCATCATGATGATGGCGATGGTGATGACGACGACGATGACCGCGACGACGACGACGGCGATGATGATGATGATGATGATGATGAGGGTGATGATGATGATGACGATGATGACGGCGACGACTGCGATGATGATGATGATGATGGTGAGGGTGAGGAGGAGGAGGACACCCCTCAAATGTAGCCCACCCTCAACCCATGAATTTCCACCCCCCACCCTTTGTGTGTGTGTGGTTGAGTGTGTGTGTGTGTGTGTGTGTGTGAGAGAGAGAGAGAGAGAGGGAGAGAGAGAGAGAGAGAGAGCGAGCGAGAGCGGCCTGCGCCATCGCCTCTCGCCTCGGCCTCCGCCCACCTTCCACCTGGGGCCACCTCCCCTCCGTCTCCGCCCACCTCCGTCGGCCTCCCCCCGCCATCTCCTCTCCTCCGTCGCTCCCACCTCCCGTCCGCCTCCTCCAGTTATCTCTTCCCACCATCTCCTCTCCGCCTCTGCCACCTCCCGCCCGCCTCCTCCCGCCATCTCCTCTCCACCTCCGCCACCTCCCGTCCGCCTCCTCCAGCCATCTCCTCTCCACCTCTGCCACCTCCCGTACGCCGCCTACCATCTCCTCTCCGCTTCCGTTCTGCTGCCCACGCATCCGCCATCCCTTTGCCTGCCTTTTAAAACAAAAACAAAAAAAAATGGTGCGTGCCCACCTCCCCTCGGCCAGCGCGGACCTTCTGTCCGCCTCTGCCCACCTCCCTCCCGCCATTGGGATCGCCAATCTCCCCTCAGCCTGCGCGCACCTCCCATCCGCATCCTCTGGCCATGTCCTCTCTCTCTTTCCGCTCGGGCTCTGCCACTTCTCCTCTGCCTCTGCTCACCTCCGCTCTGGGCTCCGTTCCTCTGCCCGCTCATCCGCCATCCCGCTGGACATCCCATTGCCCGCCGCTGTTTTCTTTTTTTTTTCTTTTTTAACAGTGCATGCCCACCTCCCCTTGGCCTCCAACGACCTCCTGACCGCCTCTGACGACCTCCTGTCAGCCTCCACCCACCTCCCTTCCGCCATTGGGATCTCCCATCTCTCCTTGCCTTCCCCCCACCTCGCATCCGCCTCCTCCCGCCATCCCCCTGCGCATCCCGCTGTGCGCGCCAACCCTCCCTTCCGCCATTGGGATCTCCCATCTCCCTTTGCCCTTCGCCCACCTCGCGTCCACCTCCTCCCAACATCACGCTGCACATCCCGCTGTACGCGCCAACCTCCCCTCGGCCTCCACTGACCTCCTGTCCACCTCTGCCCACCTCCCCACCTCGCGTTCGCCTCCTCCCGCCATCCCGCTGCACATCCCGCTGTGCGCGCCAACCGTCCCTTCCGCCATTGGGATCTCCCCTCCCCTTGCCCTCCACCCACCTCGCGTCCGCCTCCTCCCAACATCCCACTGCACATCCTGCTGTGCGCGCCAACCTCCCCTCGGCCTTCGCTGACCACCTGTCCGCCTCTGCCCACCTCCTCCGCCCGCTACCTCCACCCACCTCCGCAAGACCCCCGCCCTGTACCTCTGTCCACCTCCCCTCGGCCTCCGCCCTATGCCTCCACCCACCAGTCAGCGTTCGCCTGCTCTCCTCTCCGCCTCCTCCTGCCATCTCCTCTCCGCCTCGGCCACTTCTCCTCTGCCCACCTCCCCTCGGCTGGCGGCCCACCCCCCGTCCAACTCCTACCGTCCTCTACCTCCGCCCACCTCCGCTCGGCCTCCACCCGCCCTGCCCGCTATTTTCTCTCCGCGCGGCAAAGACGATTCCTTGGAGGGAGAGAGAGAGAGAGAGAGAGAGAGAGAGAGAGATCTGTTTTCTTTCTTTTTCTTTTCTTCCCCCTCCATACATTGAGAGAGAGAGAGAGAGAGAGAGAGAGAGAGAGAGAGAGAGAGAGAGAGAGAGAGAGAGAGATTCTTTTTTTTTTCTTCCCCGTCCATACGTTGAGAGAGAGAGAGGGTGATCTGTTTTCGTTTTCTTCTTTTTTCTTCCCCCTCTATACATTGATTGTGTGTGTGTGTGTGTGTGAGAGAGAGAGAGAGTGATCTGTTTTCGTTTTTTTCTTTTCTTC